ATTGGAAATGATGAATAAGAACAAAATGCCTGACTCTGATGCCAGGACAAAGAAAGATCTGTGAGATATATGAACCCGGTACTGTTATCATATAAACTTGAATTCAAGCCACCATCTCAAATCACATGTAGATGTATAGACCAACAATAGATTTAGTGACTGTGTGTTGTTGCTTTAGGCCTTGTGTCAGGCTGGTGACCTGTCCAGGGTGTACCTGGCCTCTCACCCTATGGTAGGTGGAATAGGCTCCAAAGCCCCCGCCACCACATGACCCTGATGAGGATAAGCAGAAGAGAGTGGGAAGAGAGAGCACGAACATACTGTTTGTGCTCTCTGTCTGTGCTCTGTGCTTTATGGACATCTTCTCCTTTCTGCACTCCTTCCTGGTTTAAGAATGGTAAAATATTATTACTTCTATTAGTTGAATAAATAACTACTGTATATCCAAAAATGATTTATTGTTAGCTGTAAATGGCAAGTGGTGGAGGAACTTTTCAAACCATTCCTTTAGGAAAAGAAACAATAAAACACTATGAAAGGATCTCTCCATTACCATATGAATACATTACATATTATGTTGTTAATGTTTTGTCAAGCTTTTGAACTGTTTAACCTGCCATACCTGACCAGCTCCAGTCTTTGCTAATGGGAAATGAACACACCCTCAAAACGAGAGCTGCAGTTTTGTGAGATTATGAAAAGCTTTCAGAGACAATAGCCAACTGTGGCCACAAGATGGCAGTAGTGTAAAGGCTGGTTGAACATATTAATTGACAGGCAGGGATGAAAGGAGAGATCGCTACACTCACTTGTCACTTTGTTAGGTACACGTGCTTAACTGCTCATTAATGCAAATATCTGAAAAGCCAAATACATGGCAGCAACCCGCATTTAATCACGCAGACTATGATCAAGATGATCTGCTGAAGTTTAAACAGCAACAGAATGGGGGAAAAAAACATGATTTAAGCAATAGCTGTTGGTGGGATTTTTTTTTACTGGGATTTTTCCAGACAACTACCTTTGTTGAGAAAATATGCAGAGCATCAGTTCTCTGCAAGAAAGTGCCTTGATGATGGCAGAGGTCAGAGCAGAATGGAGCAATATTACTTATTTATTGTTCTGTAATTAGAAAACAGAAAGCTGTTTTTCCAGTCATTCTGGATTATTTTTACTGTGTAATTCTTAGAAGTGCCCCAAAACAATAAAACTTCAGAAGTGTGGTCATCCTATGTAAGCTGGTCTTGGAAATGGTAAACCCCTTGCCACAAAAATGTATATCAACAGGAAAGTTTCAAATAAATTACTGTCAAAATGAGTAAAACAAACTATTGTCTATTGCATAAAAGAATGCATTTGAACAGTTTTCCAAAACTGGCCTCTATGAATAAAGATTAACGTTCTTGTTTTTAAATATCATAAATATGATTACTAAACTAAACTACTTAAATACCATCATACATATGATTTAAAGTGAAAGTAAGTATATGTCAGTGGAGAGTGAGTGTAGACCCAAACAGAACTGAACTAAGAGCGAGCCTTTATTGATGACTCAAATAATGCAAAGGAAAAGCAAAAGGGAAACGAAGACTAACAACACCTAAACTGGAAAAAACAACTAAAACCTGAATAAATGACTCTGAAAGCAGGATGACATGGTGACCTGAAACATTAAACTCGGACATGGACATCGAAACTTGCACGAGAAAAGCCAAATATGAAATACCTGACTTGACACTTGCCACACAGAAAAACAAAGAAAAACACACAATATATACACAGAGGGTAACGAGGGAATTTGCAACCACAGCTGAACCTGATCTGACGTGACAAGACAAAGGAGAAGCAAAACTCAGTATACTGAACACAGGACAAGCACTATCAAGAAAAAAAAAAACCAGGAAGCACGACATGAGGCGACTTTTGTTGTGATTTGGTGCTATATAAATAAAATCGAATTGAATTATGACCCAGATAGTGTGTGCACTTTAAAAAGTGACTTTTGGGGCAAATTATGTTGGGTCCATGTTTCATATGAGCAGAATAGGTTATATGTGAGGTTTCATGTTTACCTTAACTTTGTTAGAACGCTAATCCTCATGAAAGCCGGCAATACGCCAGGGAAACACAGCCTAGCAGGCCAAGCTAGGGATGTGATGTGCCCAGTCCCAGAGCCAAAAGTTGCCCCATGCTGTCCACAGACAGGGGAGGGAGTCTGCTGAAGTGGACGGCTGAGCTAGGGACACCCTGAAGGTCCACCACTAGCAGTGAGGAGTCGCTACGTGCTGTCCATAGACAGGGGAGTAGTGACACTGGAAACAGCCAGAAAACCCAACCCAGTGAGCTACCAAGTGGGTTCACTCTGGCCGCAGAAACCCGACATGCTGGCAATACCCCAGACAGGGAGCCACTGCTGCAGGCTCGAGAACTCACTAGCCGGCTGACATATCAGACACAGCGAGATCCAACTGGTGAGTAAACTGGCGAACCGCGGGCAATACGCCAGAGGAACACAGCCTGCAGCAGCACAGCCACTGAAAGTGAAGGGCCAACTGGCCCTTCTCTACTCGTCAGATACTCAGGATACCAGTAATTTAATCTTTTACTCTGTGTAATAGACATGAAATTAAATAGAATTAAAAACCAAATGAAAACATGTACAGTTTTGCTATTTGAACTATGATATACAATTTGATAATAATACTGAACAAAACTGAGATTTGGGCTTTAGATTGCCAGTAACTATTCTACAAAAATATCAACCGAAAGATTCTTTTTTTTTCCTGGAGTGACAGCTATTTTTTCAGTCATAAACTGGGTTAGCAAGAAAAAAATCATTTGCAACAACGTCTTTATGATTAAACATTGAAAGGCAGTTATTACAATTATTACTGACACCACAGCCTTTAGTGATTCAAAATGTTTTTAATATAAAATAAACCTCAACAGTCCACTTACAATAGAACATTAGAATGCTGTTCATGCAATTAACACAACAGCCTCCTAAAACACTAAACTAATGCCAGGTGAGTTTCATTTAAAACCTAGATATGAGCTGGTATATAGAAATGTGAATATGTGACTTAAGACAGAAAAATAAAAAGAGCAATTTTCTATTGTTATACCTCTGATCTCTGAAAGTGGATGCAGAAGAGACACTTCATCTATCATCTGTCTTATTCTGGCCTTTCTTTCCTGCATCGCTATTTCAATTTTTACTCTCAGAAGTGCTCCAAAAATGAAAAAAAGCTCAAATGCATTATCATCATATGTTACATGATCCAGTGGAAAGTTAAACCCCTTGTCACAGAGACTCTGTCTATTCTAATTACAAGAAAACTTTAAAATAAAGTGGAGCTGTTAAAATCTTCACACTTAATACATTCATGTACATTTCTTAATCTCAGTCGCTGTCTTATCTGATACATTGTTTTATACATGAACTTAAGAAGAAAGAATGTTTCTAGATTTATATTACTTTACACATTTTAAAAGGAAACACAAAGGCACTTCTTGGGTTACTGTAGTTGTGTGTGAGCTAGGTGCTGGTGCTTCGTGTTTCACTGCTTGTATTAGTAACTGAGGTTTTAGCCTTTCTCAGTGACATCATAAACCACAGGAAGATGAAGAAACCTGCATGGAACAAGAGAGAGAGAGAGAGAGATAAGCAAATGTTTAGACTTTGTACAGGAGATGCAATGAGTATGCACATTTGAAAATAAAAGCAGTAAATCAACGCTCAGTCAGGATCTGCAGGATGGAGAGGTGATTAGAGGAATGGAGACAGCTGGGGAGAACAAAACATGGCTGAGAAAAGAATCATAACAGACAAGAAAGGAAGAAGAACTCATGACAAGAAACAAACAACACAAAAAACATGAATGAAATAAATACAAGGTGCTCGACACACAAGGAAGGGTACACAGAGGGTGATAGAAACTAACAAGAGGCTAAAAAAGACTAAAGAAGGAA